CCCTCTCTTCCACCCCCTCCTCCTCCTCCGTTTCCTCCGTCTCCGCCTTGTGCTGCTGCTCCTGCTGCTGCGCCTGCCGCTCCTCCTCCTCGTCCTCCTCCACCTCCTCGCCCTCCTCCTTCTCCTCCTCCTACTCCAACTCTTTCACCTCCGCCTCCTCCTCCTCCTCCTCCTCCTCCTCCTCCTCCTCCTTTTCCCGCTCACTGTCCGTTCCCGCTCTGCCCCTGACTCCTCCCAGCACTCTCTCTCCTGTGGCCCTCCTCCCTCTCGCCGTTCCGTACTTCCTCCCGGCTGCTCTCCTCCCTCTTTGATCACCACCCCATTCTCGCCTCCTCTCCCACCAGCACCATTTTTCACTCTGGTGCTGGTGTTTGAACACTTCGTGTTCATCAGGTGACATACTTCAGAGATGGAAGTTGAAGTTGAGCTTTTGATCATAGCAAGAGAGGGCTAGCGAGTTGCTCATATGATCGCAATGATCCCAATTTCCCTTCCGAAGGGTAAAGTCATAAAACCTCCCCGCGAGGAGACCTTTGTATCCATTTCCCCCCGAACGGGGAAGAAAGTGCCGCAGGTCCCACAATCACTTTTGTTGTCATTTTTGCACCCTGGCTGGGCCGGTGACGGCCGATGTGTAAAAATGGTGGGAAAGTGTTTTGCAGGGTGCAAAAATGACGCGGGAAGTGATTTGGGGGCCTGCGGCATCTTTTTCCCCGTTTGGGGGGAAATGGATAGAAAGGTTTCCTCGTAGTGCCTGAGGCTGGGTTTTTCGGACCGGGTTTCGGTGCGATCAGGGTGCTTCAATTTTTCAAAATATGGCGCTGATTACAATGCATGTCCTCTTTCTTGTGCTCATCTTCCTCTGCGCCCCCCCCCCCCTCTCCTCCAAGCTCTCATGCGGCAATAGTGCTTCCAAATCTCTCCTCATCTCCTCTGCTCCTCCTCCTCGTCCTCCTGCTTCTCCTCCACGTCCTCCTGCTTCTACTCCTACTCCTCTTTCTCCTCCTCGTCCTCCTCCTCCTCCTCCT